TAGTCCTTATATATGTCATCCCATTTCAAAATGCTAATTCGCCCTATTTCTAACAAACCTTCAACTTTATCCTTCATGGACGGGTCCAAGAAACTTCGAATTTGGAGATTACTAGTGGCCTGACTCAGAGTAAACACACATGACAGCAGCAGAGTGCTATAGAAGGTAAACTACTCGGATTGTTGCTAGCCAAGCATTTAAATTCCGTTACCTCACTCAATCTCCTATAGCCTTCATCATTTTGTCCACCGTTCATCCCGTGTTTCCTCTTTTTTTTTCGCAGTCCTCTGAATTCCTCAGAGATCGCTCTTTTTCTTGCATTCCTTTTCCTTCATTTAACAAATTTCTGTCCTTCTATCTTCCGCTTCCTCTACATTCGAAGAACTTCATAGAGCCCGGACCTTGTTTCGCCTGGTTGAATGGAGCTTCATATATCGACTACGTGGCTCAACCTCGTACAAATTCAAGCCATGAACTCTTTGTTTCAGATGTGGTTTTTCTATGCGGGTTACCTGACCCTCAGTATCTCTGCCATCACCATTATTGTACAACTAGCCTATATGCCATTGATCATGAGAAAAGTTGACAACTCGCGAGATGCCGTCCTACAAAGCATCCGAGGTTTCAAGGTGAGTCATATGACGATGTTTATATTCCAAACGATCGGTATCGAAGCATATCCTGAACTATCAGCTCCAATATTTTTCGTGTGTTTCGAGTGAGCACTTTCATCAGATTAGTTGACGCCTGAAAGGTGCCCTCGCTCCGAGTCTGACATATGAGCGCGGCGGGACTGCTTCTCAAACCCTGTTACGACAATCGGAGCTTTTGTCCTATAAGCCCTATCAGCTCAATGGCTATTTGTGCCATTGCCTTCCAGCACTCACACGTTCAACGTGATGAGCCGGTTAGCCGATATCGGCAGTGAACCGCAAGGCTGAAGGCTTTTTACAAGTTTTAGATGTTTTGTTTGATAACTACTTTTTAGCGCTGTAGTGCGTGATGCGCCTTTGAAACATCTGAAAAATCCTTCAGCCGGTATCAGCCTTCACTGCCGATACCGGATAACCAGGCTCATCACGTTAGAACGTGTGAGTGCTCGAAGGCAATGGCACAAATAGCCATTGAGCTGAGAGGTAAGAGCGGCCCCGGTAGCGTAATGGTTAACGCAACAGCACAGAAAGCTGGACATGCGGCTTCGAGTCCCGCCCGTTATCTGAGTTTTGCCCAAAACTCAGCACTCTTGTGTTATCCTAAGCATCTTCGGCGAAGAATCGAAGTCAGCTTTGCAGGGCTAACCTATTAAAGGCAGTTGGCACGATGATGGGTGCTCGGCCGGTAGGGCGCTATATAGTGGGGAAATGGCGAAAGAACGGAGTGAAACGGTCAAAATCCTGCCTCCGTTCTCACTGTGTTAGTAATCAATTTTGGACGAGTTTCCCGAAGGCATCTTACCAATAACCGCTACCGAAGGTACGGCTGCATATGTGTACTCATATATCCATGCAGCATCACGGCCGCTTCATACCAATCCCTTCGCTTCATAATTTGCTTAGCAAATGAATCAATTAGAGCGTCTGGAACAGTCGTCCATTTGTGGGCGGGCGGGCGTTTGGGACGTAAAGTTGTGGCTTGATAGCGCCCTTATAAGGGCACCTTCCCTGGAAAAGGCATTATGCAGCGCCTGCTCAGGGTCGCGGAATTCCGTCCTGCCAGGCGTATTAGTCCTGCTCGTCTTGGAGGATTTATCGTGCCAACTGCCTTTAAAGTCAGCCGTGGTCGTGAAAGCGTGTGAGCGGTGTGTAGTACTTGTTGCGTTCCTCGAGGAAATGTAGGTGCATTACAAAGTCGGAATATCAGATTCAGGATTGGGTTACCTGGCGCACACCGTAGTCCTTCTTCGGTCATGAGTTAGCCATAATACGTTGGTGCGAAAAAAACAGCATTACATTACTTCAGATCTCCCAGAGTAGGAGAGAAGCCCTAGTTGCTTCTGCAACCATGGATTCATTACTGCATTTTTCTTGTTCAGGTTCTGGAGAAGGACATATCCAGTCTGATGGAGTCAGCCAATCGTGAAAAGCGAGCAGCAACAGTAGTGTGTGTGCTGCAGCAAAACGTGGCTGGATCCTGTAGATATCGATTCGCTGTATTTTGAAAATGTTGTGGTTCAAACTGATCAATCTGTACGAGCGACGTTATCTTACTAGAAAAGCGTTAGGTTCTTGGAGCTGTTGGGCAACCATGTCGTCATCTTTCCCTAGCGAAACCCAGTGTTTCTCAATATGCGTATTTTGAACCATTTTCCTTGAGCCTTCCACGTATTCCAGGACAGCCAGGCAAAGATGGAAAACAGGGCAATGACGGCGCACCAGGAATTCGAGGAAAAGATGCCAGAGACATTCTCGCAGAACAGGAAGAGAAATGTGTCGTTTGCCCCGCCGGTGAGATGGGCCCCATGGGACCGCCGGGCGATCGTGGCGAGACTGGGGAAAAGGGATCGAAAGGTCCTTCTGGCACTCCCGCAACTGATGGAATCGACGGTTCGTTTTACACTCTGAAAATCTTATGCAGTTGACAGGATCAGCATAACTCGATAAGGTACAGTTGGAAAAACGCGGAAGGTGATGTTGGACCCGCCGGTTACCCCGGAAAACCGGGTGCTCAGGGTCCAAGCGGACGACCTGCAGAGGGTGGAGTTGGCAAACCTGGACCAAAAGGAGCAGATGGACCCGTTGGGAGGGCTGGAGCTCAAGGACCACGAGGAAAGGTGCGATTTTCGATTTTTAACACATATTGGTTTTTTGTTTTTGCTCCCAAAGAATGGAAAGACTTGCAGCGAAACTACATCTACGGACCGCCAGGTCCGACGGGCCAACCAGGTCCTAATGGGCTGGACGGAGTAAATGGGAATGTCGGAGATAGAGGACCAAAAGGTAGGTGGATCAAAATAGTAACCTTCTTTTTTTTTTTGTTTTTTTTAGTTTTACGATTTACCATATCGTTTTGGGGAGCAGAGGAGGAGTAGAGAGTTTTCTGTTGAAATTCTTCTTGCTCCATGGTGAGATACTCTACCTTATGAGAAGCATACAGAAGAACAAGAATACGTTTTGCTCATTTTTTCACATTTATTTTCAAGGACCACCTGGAGAAAAAGGAGCCGATGCGAAGTTCTGCCCTTGTCCAATGGAATTGCAAATTATTAATCAGCAAAATGTAAGTCTTAAAAATTCTTATTTCTTCTTGTTGCTCACACAAATAAGAACCGTGGGAGCAGTAACAACTGTGGTCGCCTGCATCACATATCTACTAAATTACCTTTGGTTTTCCTCGACTATCAGAAGAAACTGCTCACTTTTATCGCAAGGCACAGCAGTACAGGCACACCATGTTTGAGATTATTGTCATCACTAAAGTGAACTAGCCA